ATCGGCAACATGAGTCATGGCTCCTCATACTTTCTTACACAGAGGTCAGTTGCTTGCTCTGGACATTGAGTATATATGTGTGAATGTGCAAGATTGGTTACAGGTGCGGAAAATGATGTATATTTCTTTTGTGTAATTACATTAGCAGCAGGTCTTTTCTGTTTACAAATGTGCACCTGTTGTCAGGGAAGAGTACAGAGGGAAGGTCACAGACGCAAGGAACTGACAAAGTCTGGAAAACACTCACACTTTCAAAGCAATTTTCTACTGATCCCTTTATAAAATACCATGTAAAAACTTTGAGAAAGACTTTCTAAGAAATGCTACGCCTCTTTTCAAGCCAAAGATGGATGGATGGAACAGCAGCTCCCTAGGGAGTAGTGGAGGAGAGCCATTTTCACAAATTATCCTGTGAAAATAAAGCCTGTGAGAAAGGAGAAGCCATAGATGAGACAGAAAGGGAGGAGTGGACCAAAGAGTTTTAACATGAGTAATCTGAGCCTGTTATGCCTTTGATAACTTAAAATGATCTGTGAAGTACATTTTTATGAAACCAAAAAAGGAAACTCTTTTATCTATAGCCAATAAAATATTGACCCGTCTATGTGTTAATCCTTAAATTAATCAGGAAAATTTCCAAGATCAGGTTCATTTGGCCTCAGTAGGAAAGTAAAATCGGTGTCACACTGCAATAAAAGTTCTTCCAAAAATATCTGAACTGCCAATTAGTTTGTTTTACACGTAATTGTGTTATTTTCATGCTTTTACATTTTCTTCATTGTTAATGTAACATTTTCTCTCAATTAATCAAACTGCAACATTGTCAAAATTTTCACATACAGAATGAGAAATTTCCACACATCTCAATAACTATTTTGGACACTTGCAGTTAAGCACATTAAGATGCTTATTAGTGGAGAGTTGCGGAATGAGCTTCAATTAGTGAATTAGACTGTATTCATTACACTTCGCCAAATGCTCATTAACAGATTGTTTGATATTTTTTTCCTGCTCATTCTAGAAAATGGGGGAGGGGTGCTGAGGAACTAGCTTGTCTTAGCAGCAATATGGAATTGAAGTCACATAATAGTCTTTTTGCTAAATCAACTTAACATAAAAGAGTGCTTCCAGCTTTATTGCTAAGATGTACACTGCAGCTAGGCACTGGATGGGCTGACTCTTCCATGCCACCAGGGGGACCATTTGGTATATTTTTACAAACTCTTTTCTTCAAAATAAAAAGAGCTCAAGGAAGGCAGGTCTGTGTCTGTGACAAACAGAACTCATTTCATGCCCATTTTGACTCAAGGATACCCAGATGTTCTCAGGAAACCTGTTATTTTAGATTCACGGTAATCTGGTATGCTTCCATTCAGCCTTCTCTGCTTTACATCACTCAGGAGCTGAAATTTTAAAGCTTTTTCAACTTCCTCCTCATTTCCTCTGACACGGTTCTTTCCTTCATTAAAGTCTTTGCATATTTAATCCCATGTTGTTACCTACTTCTTGGAAAATCCAGACTAACACAATAAGCAAAGAATAGTTCCCCAGCCCTAATAGAGCACCTGCAACATACCAGGAAACCCATCAAACCTGATAGGAATAAATCAACGTAGTAAAAGGGGGAAGAATGAGTGACAGTCTACACAGCAATGTAAGACTCACAATCTTCTCCTGCTTGACTCCCCAGCTGGAACTTTCTTTGTGCAAAATAGTCAGAGAAGCAATCTTAGATACGGGGTGGCCTACAGCTGCTCCCTCAAAATGGCCCATTTCTGTGTTTTTTAACACCGTAACATGAGTCCTATCAGCAGTAAAATTCTGTCTTCAAACAATTCTTCTGATGCCTCTTTTATAAGACTTGACCAGCAAATTTGACCTTGGATATCTAATACCAAAGCGACCAGTGTAAACAAATAAATGTAAATGAGAGAAGTCGACAACAGAAAACAGTAGTGGTAAGAAAACACCAAAACCATTTCAAATGTCATCCTCAGAATAGTTAGAATAGTAGAGGGTAAGTATGAGTTCACATTCCAGAGAAATGTGGCTGGATCTTAACTGCTCCCAAAAAGTCGTGTGCAAAAGGCTTGTATCTATGGAACTCCTGGAAGGCTAAGCTTCCAGGAAGCAGGGCCCAGGGGAAGGTGTCAGGGCCTTGAGGTCATTGCCTTGACGTGCTTTGGTACATCAAGCCTCAGCCCCAGATTCCTAGCACAGAGAGATGACAGAGCTCTCCCACCACAGCACCATCATGATGTTCTGAACTTGGCTGCTATAGCCCAAAGTCATGATGCTGTGCAGTTATGAACTGAAATTTCTGAAATCGGGAACATTTTTCTTCTTTTAAATTGTGTCGTATCGGTGGTTTTTGACAACAGAAAGCTAACACAATACAAAAAATTTAAAAGATTAGAAATGTGTCTTACAGATCAATCATATTTTTTTAAAGAGAAAAAAACAAAACAGTAAAACGGTACAAGTAATACAGAATTTCAAGAAAAATATATATAGTAAGAAATCACTAGTTAATAGATTACATATTGTCATCTTAGAAACAGTTGTCCAAATTTTTTTTCATTATAGTTTTCCAACCAAAAAGAAAAGCTCTGGATTCTGAGAATAGTGCCACACCCACATAATCACAGCCCCTGGAAGGCTGAAGCAGGGGCATCTCTGTGAGTCCAAGGCCAGTCTGGGCTACATAGAGAGTTCAAGGTCAGCCTGAATTACGTAGCAAGACTGTCTCAAAAAAAACAAAAAAACAAAAAACAAAACAAAACAACAACAACAACAAAAAAACACAAACTAAAAAAGAATAACTTCTAAAGATGAAAGATAAAATAGAGGCATGAAATAGTTTAAAAATGCCATAGCTGAAGAACATGTTTCCATATGGAAGAGACCTCGAAATGCCAAATTTAACGAATAAATACCCATATTAATGTAGCCATTTCTGAGATTTTTCTCATAAAGGTATATGTCACATGTCAACGTGCAAATTTCAATTAGTATCACACTTTCCACTTATAATGAAATAACTCCTCCAAATGCTATGCAAAGGAATTTTCCACTGAATATCAAAAATTAACAAGAAGGGGCTGGGGATTTAGCTCAGCGGCACAAGTGCCTGCCTTGCAAGCACGTGGTCATGAGTTTGATCCTCCATACCAATAAAAGAAAAAAAAAAAAAATCAACAAGAAGATCCCTGTCTTGCACCAATAAAGATTTTTATTTTGTTTGTTTTAGAGATTTTTCCCTCCAGAAATTGCCATAAGTTCCAGAATTTGCTAAAAACTAAACTTCTAAAATGGTGTTTTCCATTCAAAAATTCTCTAGAACAAAAATAGTTTATCTAGCTCTACAGAAACAACATAGAGTTCAATGTTTACAACTGAATTTTCCAGGCCCAAAATTATGCAACATTTGTAATTTGTCGATGAGGAGGAGAATCATGCGTCCTACATCTTTCCCTTGTCTTGCAGTCTGAGAGGAGGAGCCTGCCCTGGCCAGCTGAAGTGAGAACACCCCAGTGAGAAGGGTCTCAGGGCTGTTCACTGTTCCTTAGCACTATAGCAATTTATTTATTCCCAAGAATAAGGGACAAAACAATAAACCAATACTAAAATATAGCTTTTAGTGCTATAATGCTTACTGCATAAATTTAATGCAATTGAATGATAATTGAGTAAATATAAACATTTTATTAAATACCATAAATATTGAAAAGTGATGTTTAATTTACATCAGTTCAAAGTGTCCAAATTAATTTCAGTATTAGATTAAACAAATGATTGCCCATATTTTGTACTACATAATTGAGAATGGTAGCATACTAAATTGAATATAGCACAATGTAAAAAAATAATGAAAAGGAATGTATAAAATATGGCATTTAACATTAATAAAATATAAATGCAAAACATAAGGCAAGTAATTGTATATAAATTATAACCAACATACAAAATTTTGACCCTCTAATGTAATTATAGTTCATCATGATAAATATTAATCCTTTAAAAATAGATAAAATATGAAAAGAAATATAGATGACCTCTATAGATTTATGTAGGCGTAATGCGTTTACTTTTATCATTTATTTAACCTTTTATATTTTCTTTTCTCCCTCAGTTTTCTTTTATTACTGCATGTTTGTAGTATATGAGAGTCACCTACTTGAAGATGAGTTGGCATATATAATAACGTATATTAACAATCAGCACAGGACTTAGTAATGTTAACAGTGAAAAAGGAAAGTTAAAAAAATGAGTAATAAATGAGAGCATGAGGCGTCTGCCCTCCCAATTATGTGTTGGGGAAACAAGAGGGCAGATAACAATAGTTAGCACAAACTTGCTCATTCTGAGCTCGGAGGTTGTATTTACAAGAAGTATAGCCAGAAGATGAGACATTTTTGAGCAAAGTTTGGCTGCAAAGAAATGGAAAATTTGTGAGGCCTTGTGAAGTAAAGATATAATCAACTGACATAGTTTTATCAGCTTTTCCATTTATTACTCAATGTAAGAGATGCTGTAATATGACAGCCATACTGAAGAACTGATAGACTTGGATCCCAGCTACTGAAAATCCCAGAATTTAACTTTCAGTGTTTTTCAATGTTACCTTGACTAAAGAGAGTGGTCTTATTATCCAAGGTCATATTCTATCCTTCAATAACCCACACCTAGTTGGTCAATACATGTGAGTAATAGCTGGCACATTCTCCTCTTTGCTCAGAAAAACTCAGAAGCTAAATGATTGTTCATGATTTCCAAAATGGTAGGAGGAAAAAAAAAATACCTTTCCTTGATGCCACAGTTTTTCCTGGGAAATGTGCATCCAGGGTTAGGAGCTACCTGCTCATAAAGATCCAGTCACTTGTGCCAGACCTGGGACATTCTGAACGTCCATCCTGCTGCGAGTTCTCTGTGATGGCAGGTCTCAGTTCTACCACCAACTCTTCCTTTCCGTAATTCTGCACCCCTCTTTCCTTCAACAGGTGGTAATTCCCAAAACACTTCCTCATACACCATCTGCATGCCAATTGTCTCTCAAACTCCACTTCTTGGAGCATACACATGCCACCCTAAGACTCTAATAGGCATATTAACTCAAAATGGAAGAAATGAAGACCTGTGACATGACTGGTGAAGCCTGTTACTTTGAGGAAGAACAACCAAAGGTAATTGCCTGGTTTTGATATTTTCCTCTTAGAGACGTAGAGGCATTAACTGAAAATTTCCTGTGCTTCAACCTTAACAACTAGAAGTGGAAAGGTGGAGGAGGGTGGACAAGAAAGGTAATTTTATTCTATGTTTTTTAAACTCCTAGCCTGTACTTTATACAGACTATATATTCCTAATAATCTTCTTAGGTACACTCCTCAACCTGCTGTCTGTTCCACATACAAATCTAAGGAGGAAGGAAATCTCTTTAGAAGCTGAACACATTCTGAGTATTCACTGTTATACCTGACTTGAGAAATGTGGTCAGCAATGAGAGAATGGAAGAATGCGTTAAAAAGATCAATGCATGCGCACTACCCTGAAATGGACTGTGTATTTAGATGAATACTTTAAAAAAAAAAACACACACACACACACAAACCATTGTGTTCTCCTTATAAACTCAATCTTTCATCATCTCTATTTCATGGAGAATACATTATCCACCAGAAGATATTCACCTTTGGCTTTGCCTTTTCTTCATAAGCTGCTCAGCACCTTGAAGAAGTAACATATTTTAAACCTCCTTACAAAGCTTCCACAGATTTTTCTTTATTTCTAAGAGAAAGTGTTGATTCCATACAAAACCTCTCTGCCCACTCTGTCCAGCCAGGCCCATCTCTCACTACTGCTGAGAGACGTTCTTTCGCATGTCAGATACAAATATAGTTTTCAAACTCCACAAAAGAAAAAACATTATGGCTATAGCAGACATTTGTTGTGTCCTTATTAACTGTCAGGCCCTTCTCCAATATTATATATAGATGATTAAGCCATTTTCACAATCCTATTATCTCAGTCTATAAGTAAGACAAATACCAACGACAGAATATAAGTAATTATCAGTTCTGTAGTAGACCTTACCCTCTGTTCACTCTTATATCTAGTGTAGTCTGGCCCACATCATCTTTATTTTCTATTTATTAAAACTGATGTCACTTGAAAAGTCTTCAGGCACTGGCACTTATATCTGACTGCAGAAAACTTTCGATCTTATTTTTTATCTCATGTTCCATTTACACCTGCTTGTTTACTAATCATCTTTTCATTTCCTATATGCCTGTCTACCAATAGAACAGTGTTATCCAAAGTGGGCTTCATAGTGTTCTAGAATCAAAGATTCTTTAATTTTTTTTTTTTTCTTTGTACTGGGGATCGAACTCAGGACCTTGCACTTGCGAGGCAGGCACTGTGCTACTGAGCTATATCCCAACTCCTCAAAGATTCTTCAAAAACTAAAATAAAATAAAACTCATGATCTAGTGCACATTTGCAAATGGCTTGTTTTCCTACTATATATCTCAATAACTGTAATGTCAAAAATGTTTTATTACTCATTCAACATTCAAGATAACTCTGAAATAAAGTCCATGTTGATTGGAATTGATTTCCAGAGATTTGCAATTTTTGAGAATGTCTTCAAGAACTCTCTTGTCTTCTTCTCATCATTCCACCTGTGACTAAACTAGATATTCAGGGGTAAGATTTCATTAAGGAAAGTCACATGGGTCTGGAAATTCCGTTTCAAGCTATCACTAATTAAATTGCCCTAATCCTACTGAACCTCTCAGCTGTGCAGTACAGCTATTTCATGTGAAATCCATAAGCCTGCTATTTAAATGTCATGCTTCTTTATTATTATTTATATCTAATTTATTATTTGCATGAAGCTCTGTAGCCTTGGGGTATGAATATCTCTCTATGTTTAATTAAGAAATCCATTCTGATTATCACCACTCCCACCTAGCAGACAGGAGCACAAACATAGAAAACACACACAAACAGAAGCTCCCTCAAGCGATCCTGCCCTCCAGACTGTTAGCAAACTCCTAAGAGCTGGGAAAGACACCAGACAGAGTCATAAATTAGAAGACTGAAACTTTTAATTTATTAATTTATTTTAAATTATAAAATAGGTCTCCATCAAGGAAAAGTACTTCTCTGTAGAGTATGATATTCTATATACACACGATTTTTCTATTGGCCATACTGAAATCTCCACACCAACAAAAGCATAACACTGATAACTCTGAGATTTATTTCCTCATTTGGTAATAAACCCTGGCATTAAGCCAAATGCCTACATTAAGAATTGAAAAGAGACTAGTCATCCAAAGTTTGAAAAGGACAAACTTCTTTCATGACTATATTAAACAAAATTAAATTAATAACAGTAATTGGTCACTGGAGGTTATAGAAGGAAGTAAAGAAAGAAGCTACTTTAAAAAAAAGATCAAATTTGATGTTTCATTTAAATAACAGTAATAATTAAATTATCATTATTAACATCATCTTTTTTGTCATTAACTCCATTAATTTTTTTCACACATTGAACTTTAGAGTTTCTTGAATGTTATTATTTCCCTTGTAATAATGGAGTTTTATATACTTTGATGTATCACAAATGTGAAATACATGAAAATATGAGTATTATTTTCATTTTATCCATTAAACTTAATGCTAAAGACAATGCAGAGAACACTTCAGTCTTTTTAAAGGTGTATTTACTTCCTATTTGCCCATTCTTTAACTCTTTTACACTGACAATATGATTTTAGGTAAGCAGTTTTAAAATGTTAGACATTAGAGACACATAAGTTTGATGTTAGACTTGACAAAATTTTTAGGATATCATAAATTCATGTTTGATTTTTTAAAGAGATATTTTAATTTAGTGCCGAGTTCAGACCCACCTTGACCTTCCACAGCTTTCTCTTTTTTGAAGAAATTGAGTGAATTAGTGTATATGCTGTAACATGCAATTTTACATTCCATTCATACTTGATCTCCATTTTTTTCATAATCAATAACAACCAAGTGCCAGTATATTTTTTAAAAATAGAGAGAAAAAAGAACATCAGTTTTATGTGTTTTCAATCATGAGGCCATTGGAAGTGTGAGATTCTTTTTCTGAAACATCAACACTATAAAAATCCTTCTGATGACAAACTGTGCCTACTTCCAGATCATGTGGCAGTAAAAACTATTACATAGCTCATCACGCTCAGAATGAAGTGTAGGCTGTGAAAAAAATATGATTTATGTGTGTATCAACATTTGTTTTGGGAGTCAAAATGACTTCTTTCTTAATTTGTTGCAACAAAAATGAATTCTACTTAATTATCTGTGATTTTCAGCTCTCAATTTCACCTAATAATACACTTTTACACAAACAATTTGCCACATCTTGTTTCTGCAAAAATCCTCATCAGTGTCTTTAATTACCTACTGACACTGCCATGTTGTGGTTGTGGACTTTCACACGTCACCGTGTACAGCATGGCTCATAAAGCGTAATGAGAATAAGTTCATTAAATTAATCCCAATAATTAACCAACTTGCTGCCTGCTTCTCAGATGTCTAATATGTGATGCAAACTTGGCAAACATTTTTGACTGCGGAGGCAGAATTGAATCCAGAAAGCCTTTTGGAGAAACGAAAACTTATTTTTATTAGAAATTCTTTTTTCAAATATACAACTTCTTGCTTCTGTAATTTAACAAAGGGTTCATCTACTTTAAAAGTAAATATAAAATTATATAAACTGTTGATCAAATAGAGAGAGAAAGAAAGAGAGAGGAGAGAGAGAGAGAAAAAAAGAGAGAGAGAGAGAGGGAGAGAGAGAGAGAGAGAGAGAGAGAGAGAGAGATCTTGATGGTAATTTGTGCTAATTTTGCTTTCATGGAATGTTTCTAAAAAGGAAAGATAATACATTATGTTGTATCAAAAAGTCTATTTTTATGTAGACTTAACCCTATGCATTCCTTCTCCATAACAGTTTTTCAAGTTCTTCCCTAAAATGCTCCACTATCATAAAGCATTTGCTTTTTTCAAACAAATTTTTCTGACCTGTGCACTCATCACTTGTGAGTAAAATTTACCTGCCCTCCCAACCAGATTTTAAATATTCTGAGGCATTATTCCTAAATTCTATTCAATTCTGAAGTACAGGTAAACGAGTCAAATAACACATGTTCCTCTGCATTCCTGTCTCTTGGAGCTTACATTAAATCCCTGGGATACAGAAGAGATTCCAGCTCATAGTAAGTGCTCAGATGTGCTGCCTGAATTAGTGAAGAAGCTGATTCACTAATCTTTTAAAAGAATACTTTCTGCTATAACTTTGTTCAATTTTTAATAGGTGATTTTTTTCACAAATTCACAAAAATAAAACATGTATATGTTTTATGTTTTAAATTTTCTCCTGCAATATATTAGCTAAATACTTATTAAAGTTAAAGGGAAAATTATGAAAACACTCCCCTTTTCACTTCTCCTCAAGAAACCCCTCTAATCCACTGTTCTTATGAATTGTAATCATGTTTATTTACCATTTTCTCCAGAGACCTCTTTCTTTTCATTTATTTTGTTCTTATTGTTATGTTCCTTTTTCTTTCTTTTTTCTCCTCTCTCTCTCTCTCTCTCTCTCTCTCTCTCTCTCTCTCTCTCTCTCTCTCTCTCTCTCTCTCTCCCCCCCTCCCAGCAGGGTTATATATCAGATTTTGTTTTGTCAGGAAATTCTTAGTGAAACTTTGATACAGCAAAGACTCCTATGCTTCAAATAAATAAAGATATGAAATATTAGAGCAAAATACAAAGTTTAATGACAGTGTCACATGTATTTTACCCCTGTGTACAGACAGATTTATTGCCTTTGTTTATATATATGTACTTTGAATTCTGATTTTGCATGACTATCATGGTTTCTAAATTTCCCCCAGGTCTTCATCTATGTCTTTACTGACTGACTTCATATAAAAATTAATATAGGGTGGTATTTAAGGATAAGTTTTGATATCAAGAATTCTTAAGTGTTGAATCCTGGATCATAGGTACAAGCTACATGGCCAGTACTCAGAAATAAGAATTTCAGATTTTTCCACAATAAAAATGCAAATTCTAAAGAGTACACTGGTTTTATTTGTAAGTTATGACAATATTTACACAGAAGACCTCAGTGATTCGTATCTATATTTAATATGAGGATGGTGGTTAGACAATGACTCATGATCTGACAAAAGTATTAAAATTACGAGGTGTGGTGACACGTGCCTGTAAATCTAGCACTTTGGGAGTCTGAAGCCAGAGGATAAGGCCATCTTCGGCAACTTAGTGAGACACTGACTCAAAATAAAAAGTAAAAAAGACCAGGGGTTATACTATGAAGGTCCTAAATTCAAACCCCAGTACTGCAGAAGGAAGACGGAAAAGAAGAGGAAGAGGAGGAGGCAACAAACCTGAGTTATGGAGAAATTCGACGCTATGATTTATCCATTTTTGAAGAGACAGGGGATAGGAACATAAACATAAAAAACAGAAAATAATGCCCATCTTAGTTTCATACTGAGCAGGAAATCTCCATTCATTACTCTCAGACCCTGGGATTTTATTAGCTGTAAGTAAATAATACATAGAAACTTATTGAATATAGGACATAGGAATACTGACTTCTAATAAGCATAAATTCAGTTATAAAACACAGACATTGCTAAACAAGAGGACCATGCATTAGGCATGGTAGTTGAAGAACCTATAACCTGGTTTAGTTTTCCAAATCTTCACTTAGACGTTCATAACCTTGGGCAAGTTACCTGACACTTCAAATCCCAGAGGTCACTTTTAGGGCATTGGAATAGAATGTAAATACATATTCCATTTAACGCTTTGAAAAGAGAGCAAAAAGAGAAGGAAATTTTTTATGTAGTAAACCACAATTCTAGCTTATTTCTGACTTAAAATGAAATCACAATTAGTTTTCCATGTTCTGGAAACTCTAAAATTTATGTTTTCAAATATCTTCATTTCATTCTCAGAAAGTTATTTAAATTAAAATAGTGATTCTTAGCTGTGGGAATTGTGCCCCACCAAGGACATCTGATAAAGTGTGAAGAAAGTTTTGGCTGTCACATTTTTGAGGTGATACTGTTTTTCAATGAGCGGAAGCCAAGGATACTGGTGAGCATCTTATAATAAACATGACAGCCACACACAACTGCAACATTAGGTTAATATTGCCAAGGCTGAGAACCTCTGGTCTAAAAAGTAAACAAACAAAATACACGAGAGTCTTCTGAATCCTGATGTATTTGCAGTAACAGTGTATCCATATATCACATATTTTTCACCTTTTATTTTTGCTTTATCAACCCAGCAGTGAAACAGAACCCACACTTATTTCTTTGAGTCACCATCTGAAACAGTTCCATGATTAATGGGGGCATATTTTGCTGATGGACTATTATGTGTCTGATGGTTAGTTCTGTGTCACATGACTGGTCTGGGGTGATCAGATTAAGCATTATTTCTGGGTGTGTCTAGCAGAAGTTTTTCTGGATAAGATTAGCATATGATTCAAGGGGATCAGGCAAGTAGATGGTCCATTAAAATGGGGATGGGCATTATCTAGTATATTTCAGTACCTGAATAGGACTAACCTGTGGAGGAAAGAGGAATCTCCTTCTGTTGCTTCCCACATACCTCTGAACTCAGACATTGGTCTTCCCCTATCCTTAGATACCATTGTGTCTGTGAGGCCCTCAGATTCAAACTAGAATTATTCCACAATTTCCCATGGTTTTCAGCTTCCAAACAGCATGCTGTGGTACTGATCAGTCTCCATAATTATATGAGCCTGTTTCTCTACCACAAGATATACTACTTCCTTTCTGCAGCCTGAGTCTGTGTGCTTATTTGTGGAACAAGTTATTGATTGTCACTATCTCTCTTCCTGAAGTTTATTCTGTGAAAAAAATGCTGAAAGGTTGCAAAAATACAGTATGTAAGCATGTGTTGGGATTCATGAGCATAATCATATTCATGATAGAATTATCCTATAAAACTGCCACTCCTTCATATGTTTTGGCTTGTGAGACTATAAAGAAGACATTATAAGGTCTTCCAGAGAAGGCCTAGAATGGTGATGGGAAAGCACCAAGCTGAGGCAAAACGGTAATAAATTCATCTCCAGGTAGATTGGTGGAAGAGCCTTCTGGGTGGAAGACGTACTGTGTACTCAAATTGGAAGACAAAAATTGTACAAGCCAGTTGACGAGGTACTCACTAATGTTAATGTATCAGCCAGTTTTAGGGGGAGAAATGGAAATGAAACTGTATTAAGAACAAACCCTGAAAGGTTTTATTCTGAAGGGGGAAATGGCAAAATATTTAAAACTGAGTCAATGGCGTAAGACTGTATTGTAGGAGAAAAAAAAAAAAATGTGTCTGATGTGTGCATGAAGGAGAGCAAACTATAGGAAACGAAGCTGGAAGGCAGCCTGGAGAAAGGGAGTAAAACACACACACAAATACCTGGAAAATTTTGACCCAGGATTCCTCATAGATAAACTAGAGAATTTCTAATTTAACGTAAGATGAGTCAATTTTTTAAAAATTATTGAATTTTTCTATTTTCTTAGTATACCTGAGAAGTTCGGTTGGAAGATGATTGGAAAAACAAAAAGTTAGCTGTATCTAAGGACATTATTCATTATTGGCAACTCTCTGATTCTCACTTTGACATTTTCCCCACATTCTGTCTTTGTTTTGGAGCTATTAACAGACCTTGCTCAAAGAGATATTTAAAACTCACCAGGCTTTCTCTTCACAGATGGTCAGCGATACCAGGAGTGACCATAGAAAGGAAAAAATACAATGATCTATCTGGATTTTGGCAAAGGAAGACAACATGGATTATATTCTTGCAGTTGAACAGAATATTAACAAAGATTCTCTGGCTCATTTGGAGAGGATGGAATTAATTCACCAAGGAAAGGGTCGCTATAGGCAAGATTCCACAAATAAAGGGAGAGAAATGCAGATTATGGTTTAAAAAAATTAACTAGAGAATGGGATGTTAACCTCCAGCTGGGGAAGTAATTATATTATAATGGTGATGGAGAAAACTATCAGCCAAAGAAATGAACCTGAACTGAAATGTTTCTAAATGGCAAGTAACTTTGGTTACCTTTTGGTTTGCATGTGCTTCATTTTATATTCACTACTCTGTGATCCTGGGACTCAGCAGAGACTAGAATTGAGCATTCTGCTAGACTTGGTCTTGCCACTTAATAAAGCTTTGTTGAAATGCAATTTAAAAAGATACTCAAATGCGGATTCCACTTGTGCAAAATTTTTGCCTTACATGATGATTTCACACCTAAGTATCACAGTTGATTTGAGGATCAACAGAGACAATTTTGATACAGTTTTGTGTGTTGAATATGTTGTTGGTGTTTTCAAATTTGGTTTCTTTTTCAACCATTCTGAACTACACATAAAGCTTTTGTTATTGAATCAGAAAAAGTTAATGAAGCTTTTGACACTTAAAAGGTTGAGGAAATTTCTGGGCACTGAAGTTCAGTTACTGTGCAGGAGCAGGAGTAAGAAATGTGCAGTGGTCTCACCCTCCATCACAGATTTCTGTCATGATTAAGGTACAGAAAAAAACTGTCAAAGGCACCTGCCAAGAGACACCTACGAGTACGACCATTAGGGAATTTTCTCAGCCTTTAACAGCAAGAACATTTCCTAGGATCATGAACTCTGTGTTGACTCCATGCATTCAGATTTGCTTTCTCTGCTTGTCTCCCTTCTCTATCCTCTTGTGTAACAGTTTGTTCTTAATGATTTAAAGTAGACGAAATGTGAAAACAGAGCTCTACTTTTTCCTTTAAGGTTTGGAGGAATGTATTGTGATGCATTTCATACAACCTAAAAATGGTTAATTCTTGTGTGTGTGTGTGTGTGTGTGTGTTTGTGTTTTCAAGTAGATTTTAGTTTTCTAGAAGACATTTAAGATGACAGAAAAATTGAGTAAAAAGTACCCAGAATTATTCTGTATTCCCTGAGTGTCACTGCACACTGCACACTTTCTTCCCATTTCGTGGCAGAGAGGAATATTGATAAGATCAAAGCATATCTGTGGCCATATCATTATTTTAGGGGAAACACTAGTATTTTATCAACTGTTTTGCTTTCGGTGCATAATGCTAGGAATTCTGATAGTTGTATAAATTCATTTAACTGCCATCAAAATCTGTATACAAATAATTTCTCAACAACTCTTTTATGCTGTCTCTTGATAAAGACCTTCTCTTCTCATGGCTACCAGTGATTTATCTTTGAGAATATTTCTGTGTTTGCAAAAATGCCATAAAGAAGGAAAACATAATACTTTGGAGTCCTCATGAAATTTGTGTGTATCTACAATATTTTAAAAAATTTAATGTAAAGGAAAAAATAGTTAAAGAGTTTCAAAATAGGTTAATAGGAGAGTAATAATCATTGATATATTGCATATTGCTATCTTCATAGTAGATCTTCAGAGTATAAGATATAGGCATGAAATGTTGCCCAAACAATATTAGCACAAACCTTTATTTTCAATGCAGTAAGAGAAATTAGCTGTAGACTATCTTAACTATTATCTAGATATAGATATCGATATAGATATAGATAGATATTCTCCTTTATCTTTCCTTCCTTTTCTGATTCCCCATTCACAATTTATCTTTTCATTTGAATGGTTTCTTCCCAGGTCACAATATCTTTTGTATATTTTGGATCTTATCTACTCATTCTTTGTCCCACACAAGTCAGGCAATATGATGAGTTTGCTCTTTTTTATTGCTGAGTAGTATTCCATTGTGTGGATGTGCCACATTTGTTTAATCACGTTTAGGGCACTTGGGTTGTTTTAGATCAACGCTGTTAGAGTAGAGTTGCAATACTTATACATGTTTCTCTGTGGATAGGTTTCCTTATATCTAGGATAAATATTCAGGAGCGTAATAATTTTTAGATTCTATGATTAATGTAGACTTAACTTTATAATTTCTTAAACTATTTCCTAACTGGCAACAATATTTCTTTTTCTAAGAGCCACATATGAGAACTTCATTTATTCTTTATACTCCACTGGCACTGAGCATATTCAGAGTTTTGGTTGGTGTGCTTATTGCTTATTGTTTCTTTCTTTGTAGTTATTCTGACAGATACGTAATGGTATTCACCATATGTTTGGTTTGTATTTATTAGTGTATAATGATGATTGTAAATTATGTGTACTCAATATCAGCATTGATATTCTTTGTTTAGATTTCATTCAACATTTTCATTTGTTCTTAACTTGACTCTTTTATCATTATGTAATTGCAAGCTATTCAGTGTTTTTTTTTTTTTTTTTTACTTTTGATTAGATTGTTAGGCCATTTGAATTTTACTAGCAACGTATTCAGAATTAAGTTTGCCAGTTTTAGACTTCAACTTGTAGAGAGTCAGTTTACCATTTATTAAACATTCTTTCATTCAGGGAACATGTTTGGCTTCTTTGTCAAAGATAACTCAGTGCATTTTTAGTTGTGTCTACATTTTATAATCTGTTCCACTGGTTTTGATGTCTGTTTTCTTGTCAGAACCATACTGATTTTATCACAGTAGCTTTGTAGTATAATTTCAAGTGAGGATTTGTGATGCCTCCTGCCTTGCATTTGTTGCCCAAGACTGCCTTTGCTATTATAGGTCTCTTCATGGTCCAGATGAATTTTAAGAATGTTTTCCCTAGTTCTGTGCAGTATGCTCATAGAGTGATGATGCATTAAATCTTGAAACTCATATCTAACACCAAGCAATAAACTAAAATCAAAATGGATCAAAGATCTAAATATTAAAGCAGGAACACTAAACCTACTGGAAGAGAAAGGAGGTTGAAATTTTTTTTTTTTTTCTTTTTATCGGTACCAGGAATGGAAATCACTACTGCCTACTTTCAAGGCAGGCGCTTATGCCTCTGAGCTAAACCCCCAGGCCCTTGCAGGTTAAAATCTTGAAGGCATAGTTGTAGGTAGAGTTCATGAAGAAAGACCAAACTACAAAGGAAATACTTCAAAGAATCAACAACCATAACCTCACCTTATTAAAAAGCCTTTACACAGCAAACAAAATCACTAACAGTGAAAAGACAGCCCATATAGTGGAATAAATTTTATCCAGTTGTCCTTCAGACAAAAGATTTCTATCTAGAACATTTAAAGAGTTGAAAAAAAGTCAGGCCCCTTCTAGATTCAAAGACTCAGTCCAAAAATGGGCATCTGAGAGTAATGCACAATTCCTAGATGAAGAAATAGACATAACAAATAAATATATGAAAAAAAAAAAAGTTTAACATCACTGGTTATTTGAGAGATGCAAATTAAAACAACACGGAGATTTGAACTCACCCCCAAAACAATGGCTATTAGCAAGAAAACCAATAGGAAGTGTTGGTGGGCCTATGGGGGAAAAGGAATTTGTCTCTGCTGTTGGTGGGAATGTAGACTGGTACAACCACTATAGAAATCAGTGTGAAGATTCCTCCAAAAACTAGAATTGGAGATTCCATTTGACCCACCAATTTCCTATCTGGATATTTTCCCAGGAGAATAAAAACATTACCCACAGCAATATATGTACACCCATGTTTTAAAGCAGCACAATTTGTAATAGCTAAATCTTGGGGAAATCACAAAGGCCCATTAGCTGGGGAATCGATAAAATTTGGGGTTCCTATACAATGGAGTACTACTCAATCATAAAGAAGGAAAAATGGGAGAATTTTATGGGTAAATGGATGCAAATTGAGACCATACTCGTAAGTAAAATAAGTTAACTCATTTGTATAAATATTATATTTTTTCCATGGTGTGAGAAACTGAAAAAATAGATAAGTTCTAAATGTACAATAGATTTTTGTGAAATGGGAAAAAAATTCTCAAAAAGAAAAGGAAGCTAAGATGGGTGAAAAATGAAAGAACAGTAGGGAAAAGGGAAAAAAAGCAAATCAGTTACACTATTATTGTTTCTTTGCTCATTAAAAAAGGAATGTTTGTGTGACTATTGATAAGCTAATTTTTATGTCCGTATCTTGTGCTCTGAGCAACTAAAGATAATAACATGTAATATATTAACTATTGTTATTCTCCTCTTATTTTTTATGAAACTTTACTTTTTTCCAAAAACTAAAAGTTAAAAAAAAAAAATTAGCTTTGCCACTTCATTATTTGTTCTTAGGTGGTTGTTGCCATTTTTTTTTTCTTGCCTTATTTTCTCTTCCCCTCTGTTGAATTTCTTTCTTTCTGAGGGTAGTTGTGAAGCCTTCAGCAAAAGCACAGGGCTTGTGATCTCCCATTTATCACTTCTGAGAAGATGGAAACTTCAGAGAGGAACGACTTGCTGCTTTTTCAAAGGTTAAATCTTGTCATTAGTCTTCAAGAAGAATTGGTTCATATTAAAGTGGGCAAATCTGAAGAATCATTGTCCATGCAAAAATGTCCTGTTAGATTATGGATTTATGTCGGTGATTGATGAGCATTGCAGATGTAAGGTATTTCCCAGACACTCTGGATAAGAACTATTTACTCTTTAAGGGATATCATGAAAAGACTACAGTAACTAGGAATTTATTTTCTTTTAATAGACATATTTGTTACAACTGAGTATAGATAAAAATCTATACCCACATCCTCATTCGTTAAAAGAAAAGCTTACCTGAGCATGGTGTTTAAAGAGAATATGTTTCTTCTGTCTCTGACATGTGTTTCTTACAGGTTCACCATATGTCAAAACAGCAGTAACTTCCCGGTGATACGATGTATGGTGAAAACAATGAAGCAAGTTCCTCAAATATTTTTTTCTTTTGCCTTTTTTTTTTTTTTTTTTTGTATTTCAATTTAGGTAGAAGATAGATACAAGAGTGATATTTCAAGGCTGGAGATTTAGCTCAGCGGCATAAGTGCCTGCCTTGCAAGCAGGCGTCGTGAGCTCGATCCCCGGTACCGATAAAAAGGAAAAAGACAGGAAAAAAAAAAAAAAAAAAAAGAGTGATATTCCTATATCAATATAGTATGCCTAAAGAAATTATATTTATTCTGTGCATTTTTGTTAATATATCAAAAAGTGATTCCATCTCAAACGATCTTTGTCAAAAGTAGAATTTGTGGCTCAGAGTCAAGGGAATGTTTAAGATGTGGCATGACCTAATGTGCTAGTGGTTTGAAAGGAAGGAACAAAGCAGTTGAAGCTCTTTTTTCACTAATTTCTTTTTTTTTTTTTTTTTTTTTTTTTTT